TGAGATCCAACAAAAGAAGGCTCCTTGTCTCCTATTTCTACACGTGTTGCCAGGATCTCTCTGCAAAGTAAAAAGCAAAGAAAGCATTAGTTGCTGACCATTGATGATTACACCTGTGAGAAGGTTCTTTCACAGAAGTGTAATGCTGCAGCCTAAACCACGACATTATGGTCTGCAAGGATCGATATGCGCAGCCCCAGCCCTGGAAAGCAAGCAATCCAAAGTCCCGGGAGTTGCAAAAAAAAGGAAAGCAGATAAATTGTTTTTTTCCTTTGTCGTCCATTCGATCCTGAAGGTAGTGTATTGGCGATGGCGCCAGAGACTCCCTCGCATCGATGATCTTGACTCCAAGAACCACGATCGCGATGGTAGAAACAGCTGCGACCACATTCCAGACAGATATTTCAGGAGCACGATTCTTACCAGCGAGGAAGCACGCCAAGAACAGTGAAAATCCTCGGTCGCTTGGAATCCATGAGAGATCGGCTCGCGCGAGCTTGGATTCCTCGCTCGCCAAGGAGCGCCTCGTCCATTGCTCGTCACATGCAAAGTACAAAATTTTCTCAAATAGGGCCTTTCAAGTTCGAATCCCGGGACTTATAAGGTCTCAAGTTCGAATCACGGGACATACAGGGTCTGCAGTTCGATTCTTGAGAAATTTCCCTGGCTTTGAGAGCTCCAGTGATACTTTAGATAGCTTGAATCAGAGCTGAATGCTTGTTCGTTTCTCTAGAGAATTTTTTAGTGTTCTTGGTCGTTCCAAATTAGTAACATGTTTTATTTGGTCTGGCCATTTTATCGTTGGCGTCTTCCAGGTACGAAAGCTTTGCATAAGCCGATATCATCGCGTTCCAGGAGAAAACATTGAGCTCGAGCATGGAGTCGCCAATGCAAGGTACTTATGGTTTTGTGTTCTTGCCGCCCTTTTCTGGAGCACGGAGATGACACTGACGCAGCCATAGATTGGATCTTTCACTCGCATGTCCACCTCGTACGCCAAAGTGTTGATGCAATCCTCATGGAAGTAGACGAGGAGCTCGTTGAGCATCTTCCTCACGTTGGAGACGCCAAAGACGTTGTGAACGTTGGCAAAGCGCTCAGGCTGGTCCGGCAGGAAGTATGGCGCGAACAGGCACTCGGGCGTGCAGCGCCACTGGAGGTTTCGGCAAGCTGTGCAGGCGGAGGTGGTGCTCGACTGCTGGTGGTGGCTGTGGTGGTGATTTTGAGTTTGAGTTTGGTGGTGATTAGGAGAGATTTTGGTGGTGGGAGGAGAGATTTTGGGGGTGACTTTGGAGATTTTGGTGGTGGTGGTGCGCTTCAGTTGGAATGTCAGTTGATGAAGAACCGTTTCAAAGCCTTCGTTTTTCCCCCTTTTTTTTGTTTACTTATGCTGATTAAATAAAACTACTTTGCTCATGGCAGTAGCAGTCACCGAAGAGATTAGTGATACATCAATGTATTCTGGCTATTTATCTGATTATACAACACAAAGAAGTTTCATCTTTGATGAAAGCCCTACTTCTTTACTCTCTATCCAAATTATATGTTTGTACAGTTTGGTTACAAAATTATGTGTGAGTGATGTTTCAGTGGACAGTTTGCCATGCTCCATTTATACATCGCAGTCGAATCTTTTTTGGCTCGATCATTATAGTTTTTAAATGCTCTTCTTCCCGCTTTCTTTTCACACACCATTTCCCGGGCTCTGACTGCTGGAAAATCAATTTCAAACTCATTTTCCCTGCCTTTGTTTGATCCTGGAGCTTTTCCATTGTCAATTCGTGTTGTGGACTGGGCAAATTCCTCACCACCCAAGGATGCTTCTTCACTTTCCGCAAGGACAGCCTCTTCTCAGGGTTGATGTTGAGCAAATGCAGAATGAGTTTTTTAGCTTCGTCGCTTATGCCTATCCAATCGAGAGAGCTTATTGGCAAATCCTCCAAACATCCTAATCTCTTCTCAATTTCCTGCGATGCCAACCTTGGAAATGCACACTTTCCAGACAACATCTCATAAAGAACAATCCCCACACTCCACACATCAACCCTCTCGTCATAAACATGGCCAGGAGATGACATCTCAGGAGCTCTGTACCTCTCTGTCCCAACCATCCCCCTCATGATCATACCTGGTGGTGACCCCTTCTTTGAAAACCTTGACGATGTTCCAAAGTCTGCCAACTTTACATTCCCAAATAAGCTTTCCCCAAACCCAAGAAGGATGTTCCCAGGCTTGATGTCCCTGTGAGTGACACCCCTCCTGTGCATCTTGTGGACTGCCTTGGCCACTTGCTTGATCACAATTGCAGCTTCGTGCTCACTAAGCCTCTTTTTTCTAAGTAGTACATCTCTTAGTGAACACTGACATAGCTCCATGACGAGATGATAGTAATCCTCATCCCTAAAAACCTCCACAAGCTCAGGTACCATTGCTCCACCACTCGGACTATGCATCTTTGAGAGATGCACCAGTGCCTCAATCTCTGCCTCGGCTTCTTCTCGTAAGCCTCCATCTGGGAGCATGTCATCGGTGATCGAGTCCTCAATTGTATAATCACTCACTCGGATTGTTTTACATGCGAAAAACTTGCCATCTACCTTGCGCTTCATCTTGTATACGATTGCTTGGCCACCACGACCGAGCTCTTCCTCCAGAGTATAAAAGTTCTCTATATCACTCCCCATTCTCGCTGCTCTCTGTCCTCTCCTAACAATATACCCTAACAAAAGGATTCCGTAGTAAAGGCAAATATATTTCTGCGTTATTCTGAGGAAAAATGCTTTAAAAATTAAAAAAATGTATTTCTAGACAGTAAAAGAGAAAACAAGCAAGAAAAGAAAAGATACCAGTGCCACCTCCCCAAGATGGAGGAGGCATTCCAAGAACAGCCGGCCCTTCGGCCCACCCGGCCCTTCGTTGGTAATCAGCTCCAGCGTCCTGGCCAGCTCCTCGTTGCGAAGAACATCACCAGCTTTCGCCAGCTTCCCATTCGGCGAGAGGAACTTTCGAAGCGTTCTGTGAGCTAGAATCCCCTTGAGACTCTGAGCAATTTCAAATTCCAGGTAAGGTGTTACCACGAATCCATCCCGGGCTAGCTTGATGGCCGGCTCCAAGAGCGATTTCCAGGGCAGCCTTCCAAAGTGTTGCCACGCGAGGTGGAGTCCAGCGAGCTCGCCAGGAACTCCAGCGGACGAAGCACCATCGACTTTAGAGGATGGCTTCTTTGCGTACATGTCCTGGAAAAAAAGAGAGGAGTTCTCCGTGGATGGAATGTAATGTAATGAAAGAAAGAAAAAAATTCCAAGTACCTTGGATGCCGCGGCCGGGGCGATCTCGCGCATGTCATAGGCGATGGCGGAGCCATTGGCGAGTTGCAGGAGCAAGAACCTCGCAAACAGCCAAACCGGTTGGAGATGAACTGTGACCCTCTGGTAGTTAATGCATTGGCAACGCGAAAAAGTGGACGTTCTAGTGGCAAGCCGAGCCGAGAATGCAATGCTCTCCGGAGGTCAACTACAATAACAACACACACTTTGACAGCGAGTCAAGCAAGTAATAAAAGCTCACCAGAGTCGCGTTCAAGCTGGTTCTTATCGAAGATGGCTGTTACAGGATGCACGCTAGCGGGAACTTTGAAATGATATGGGCGCAACTACGTCGTCCGTGTAAGTAAGCATGGCTCTCTACTCTACTCACGAGTCATACCTGAAGACTGGTATTCCTTGCCGACAAAGCTTTACCAATGGATTTCCAGTTGAATCGTCAGAGCACGAGTGATTGTGTTCATCGCTTTGTGCAAGGCGGAGTTCCTGGAAACTAAGCATAGCACGTCCAGGGAAACCGTGGCTATGTGTAGCAAGGTTCCGTCTGCAGCTATGTAAGGAGAATGAGAAGCGGATAAACAAACCGGCACCACTTACAAGGAGTGTAATGAGATCAGTCTGCTTGCTTTGCTGCGTCAAAAGCTTGCCAACCGGAGGATGTGCTATCTGGAAAGCAAACTCATCAGAGTTCTTACAAACTTGTGTTTGAGAGCTTACCAAAGAGTCGAAAAGAGCTGAATCTGGGAACACAGATTGTAGCTCTTCGTTAGCTTGAGAGCGAACGAGAAATCTTCTCGACGATCCTTCCATAATACATACAGTGCTTGAGCTCGTGAAACTCTGGGGAAGGTCTCTAATTTTCCCATCCAGCTGCTTCTTAAGATCTAATGTCACACAGTTAGAAAAGTATAAGAGAAAAAAAGTACCTGAGGAAGTTCCAGAAGATGTGTAGAGCGAGAGGCCAAGCTCGACTTTGACATGAAGAAGCGTGAAACTCTGGGGAAGGTCTCTAATTTTCCCATCCAGCTGCTTCTTAAGATCTAATGTCACACAGTTAGAAAAGTATAAGAGAAAAAAAGTACCTGAGGAAGTTCCAGAAGATGTGTAGAGCGAAAGGCCAAGCTCGACTTGACAATGAAGAAGCGCTGTGGATTCCCAAAACTCTTTCGCGGAAAAGGAAGATTGCTCGATCGGTTGTAGGGCCTGAGAGAAGAACGTAATGCCATCGCTGGAGCTGGATCGAGTAGCATCATCGTTCGATGAGACCAGAGGCTTTTCCTGGCCACAGCACACGCCTTTGCAGCATCCGATCCAACCAGCAATGCTCCAATCACTTCCAGCCCCCGGGAAGAAGGATCCGCAATTCACCTGGAATCTCGGATCACGAAATCTCTGTGCCTAGAGCCCTACCTTCCTCAGCGGCGTAATCTGGATCGCCATCCTTGTAGCGCAGGCAGCGGATCGAGGAAGCGATCGTCCGGGACTCCAATCAGCCACGCCACGCCGGCATTCTCTTGTCTGTGCTTGGCGAGATCGCACAGCACCCTAAGTTGACTTGCTGACTACCATCATTGACTGACAAGAACTTTGCTTAATTCTTGGGAGTTTTCGCAAATCCTCCTAGTAATATAGCTGAAACAACACTACTTTCACGCGATTCTTTGCAATTACAACTATCTACGAAACGTTCATAGTTCTCATCGCTTGGATCTCTTGCCTCTCCTTCCACAGCCCGAGACTTCCATAGATGTTCGCCATAAGAGCGTAGGCCGAGTCTAATCTCCTGTCCAGAGCAATCAAACGCTGAAACGCCAATCTCTTGTGACACCCTGCGAGCACGGTCGTCCAAGTTACCAGCATCGCCTCAAATGGCATCCTCGCCACCATAGCCACCGCTTCCTCGAGTCTGTTACTTCTGCTGAGAAGATCCACCACGCAGTGGTAGTGATGGATCCCGGGAGCCAGCCCAAACTTTGAGCTCATCTCTTCGAAGTAACGCTTGCCAAGATCGACCAAGCCGGCGTGGCTGCAAGCCGAGAGAAGCGAGGAGAAGATCATCACGTCTGGACGAAGGTCTTTGTCTAGCAGCGCCTGGAAGAACTCCAGAACTCGTGGAGTGTCTCCCTGCCTGCTATATCCTGCGACCAAGGCCGTCCAGGCCACCATATCCTCCTGCGAGCTTAGCTGGAATGCCTCGAGAGCTTCATCCACGCTTCCACACCTTCCATAGAAATCGACCAGCGTCGCGGCGATGGAGGCCTCTCTTTCCAGTCCAGCGTCCCGGATTTGCTCGTGGATCTCTTGGCTGGTTTCCAGCGCCGCCAAGTTCCCGCACGCCTTGAGAGCCGCCACGAAAGTCCAGGCATCGAGAGGACACCGCTTCTCTTCCATCATGCGCCGGAAGAGCTCGAGAGCGAGCTCGTCTTGGCTGTTGTCGACGCAGCCAAAGATCATGGACGTCCACGAGATGACGTTGTGATCTTGCATGGAGTCGAAAACTCTTTGTGCGTCGGCGATGTTTCCATACTTTCGCGATCTAGCGAAAATGCCACACCTGGAGTACATGCTCACCAGGCTAGATCCCACGAACAGGTCAGAATCGAGGCCGCATTCCACCGCCGTCGCGTGGATCCTCTTGCCCCGCGCTAGATCCTTGCGCTTGGCGCCATATACTAACCACTGTTACTGCTAATTGAAGAGCAGACTTCAAATCAGAATAAATCAAATAAGCAAACTGTGTTGATGCATATTAAGTAAGTATAATCAAGTAAATCGTAATGAAATTTAAGACTGCTAATCAAAGTCGACTGAGGATTCGTCCCTGGAGAGAAATCAAACACGCTGCCATCAAGCACTCAGAGTTTTTCGACCCCAAGAACTTTGTAAGTTCCACCACCTTTCCCACTCTGCAGCTACCATGGTAGGGTAGTGATTGGTTGCCAGACCACCTTTCCTGGGCTTCAGTAAAGGATTCCTTCGATTTGGAGCAGCCACAATCCCATCTGATTTGTGAGATAAACCATGGCTTAGCCTTAAGGGCCTTAAAGTAGTTTGTTAGGTTAAAACACATTATATTTAATATCGGCTTTTAAGTTGAACAACTCTTTGAATTGCACTCGACTTGTAGAGGCTCCGGGAGAAAGCAGCTGGTGCGATGAAGGTCCTGCTTCCACTTCCCTTGGAGCACCATCCAACAAGACCGGTGTGAGGAACAAGCTCTGGAAAACTTGCTCTCCTTGGTTGCCAAATCTCATCTGCTGTACTTGGCAAGTTTGTCCCTCAGTTTCGCTGTGCTTAATATGTCTGTATCACCGGCCGCCAAAAGGATTTCTGCTTCCGCGACTGTGGCCAGTGCAGATACCCACTGCGTTGAAAGATGTTCAGGCAGAGTCTTCATGACCAAGTATAGGCTCTCTTGATGATCCTGTATGAGCCTGGTGACCTTTGATCCATAATCCTCGTCTTTGTGCTCCAGCTCGGCTCTTTGCTGTGATATAATCACTGCTCTTACGGCCTCGTGGAGGTCTTCGACTTCCTCCACGTCATCGGTCGCGTTCTTTTTGTCCTCGACAACCACATAATCAAGCCACGTCAAAGCCACTTCATCGTTGTGGACGCAACCGAAATCTGTGGAATCTACAAGGCGCAACACCAAGTCTTGCAATGTCATGCTGTAGTGCTTGCAATACCTCATGGCCATCAATTGCATGCGCCTAGACAAACGCAACTCCAGGAGCTCTATAACATCTCTGAAGCACATCCCCAGGGAATGGTATTGTGATGTTCAAGTTCTCGGACTTGGACTCGATCCGCGGACGCGAGAGAGAGAATCTAATGTGGACCACGACACGCATCAAATGGCGACTCTTTGTCCCGGATTTGCTCGTGGATCTCTCGCACCATGCGCCGGAAGAGCTCCAGAGCGAGCTCGTCTTGGCCGTTGTCGACGCAGCCAAAGATCATGGATGACGTTGCGATCTTGCATGGAGTCGAAAACTCCCTGCGCGTCGCCGATTTCACGTACATGTCGACGAGGGAAAATGCTGGAGTGAGCCATACCCTTCTTCAGAGAAGCGAGCTTGACGAGCCGGGAGTCGATCTCCACGGCCTCCCCCTTCACTGCGCAGCAGCCGCAAGCCTTGATCGCAGCTAAAAAAGTTCTCGGTCGTGGCCCTTGAGCCCGGCAAACGAGAGGCTAGTCTTGGCGGGATCGCCAAGTGCTTCCTCTTGTACTCCTCGAGGTTTACAAAGTATGCATATGAATACAAGGGGTAGATCGTAGCTATCATCATCTCCCTCTTTGAGTCCTCAGCCTCGCCGCACGCTATTGCCAAAGCCACAAAGACTTAGAAATGGAAAAAACTAGAGTAGAGATCGATGCTTACGGTGGCGGGTTGCATCAGGATGCGTTTGATCTTCTGGGCGCGTTTGCTCTCTGCACCACACCGCCCCCGCCTTTCTCGACCCATTCCCGGAGAAGCTCTTTCACTCGAGGCAGCACTATGAACTCCACGTCCAGACTGAAAACCAGGATCCGCCAGTAACGTCCTCGAGCTGGTGCTCGCAGTCTCAAAAGAATATCGTCAAGAAGTGCTGCCTTGCAAGAAATCAAAGCTGGAGCCCTGGCGGACCGCGAGAGCTCCTCCGGTGTGGCCGCGAGAGCTCCTCCGTGGGGAGCTGGACGATCCTTGTTGCAAACATCCCAGCTTCCTTCTCCGTGTCCCTGTGGAACTTTTGAAGTGTCCTCGAGCCTCGTAGAGCAGCGGCTTGTAGAGCTTCACGTCGAGCTCCAGAGCTCTGGCATCCAGCCCCATGGCGGCGAGACCACAGACGAGAAGAAGCTTGGGGCAGGAGATGTTATCTGGAATGCTCGCCGAGACCGTATGGCGCTTGCTGGCAAACCGACTTGGCCAGACCCGGAATCCATAACTCTCTTTCACCCTAAAATGTGGGTGGATTGGATCTTTCTTACTTCTATTTCAAGAGAACCGTGCTCTAGAAAAGTAAGCTTGTTTTCCTTTGTATTGAAAACTCTAGAATAATACTGCTGCTTCTTGGGTTTAAAATTTGGGGGGTTGGGTTGTGCCAGGCTAAGGCGGTAGTGTAAGGCCAAAGCGACACGTGGAGGACCGGGTAGCAAGCTACCGGTGGCCCTCCTCCCACAAAAAATTAGGTTAATAGCGTTGGGACACGTGGTCCCATATCAGCTATTAAACTGATAAGAACAGATACTACACTTGATCTTAGCCAAAAGGCCGAGAAAGGTATGAGTGTTCTATGACCAGCCCTCTGTTTATATACTCAAGCCCCGGCACGATTATGCGCCTTCGCATGTGGGATAGGGCGCACGCTTACGTGTCGCGCACTCCTTTACCCACGTCGAGCGCCGACGTGTCAAAAATTAGGGTACAGGTGGTTGCCATCTCAGACTTTTATTTTCATCGTCATAAACATTCTTGTTTTATGCTGTTTATATATGTTTATGATTAGTAAATGAGCTTTTTCCTGGAACGCTAAGTCTCTCTTTTTTGTTTTACTTTCTAAGTTCTTGCTATAGGTGGTGCTTTGGTAAGCAATTGCCAAAGCTTTTCTACTGATCTTGTGTTCCAGCTTCTTTCGTGCTCTAGAATAGTTAGTTGTCTTTGATTTTCTTTCTAAAGCTCAAAGCTTTGTAGGTTTTAAATTCACTTTCTTTTTATATTTCTTCATCGCGTAAGCTCAGAGTTTAGAAGAAGAAACTACTTTTCTAGAGCTGGATTCGTACTGCTGTAACTTCGATCTTCCTCCTGGTGAAACAAGACATCTGAAAAGAAAAATGCAGTGAACGTGGAACGAACATGCGACCTTCAGATCTTCAGTCTGACAACTGAGCTATCCCCGCTTAATTTGACTAATTAATAACATTGATTTGTTCTTTAAAAAAAAGGAAATTGAACAAACGTTAGAAGTTGAGAACAAAAGCTAAACTGATGAGTATAATATGAAAGGCTATTTGCTAGAAAAAACTTTTCACCACTACTTTGTAAGGAATTTCCTGTACCACCGTGCGGATGTTACCAACGTGGGAATTCTTTGCAAGTCCTTCCCATACTCGACGTGATAGAGGCCGAATATCACTGACAATCCTCTCGTCCACTCAAAGTTATCCAACAGAGACCATACGAAGTAGCCTCGACCATCGGAGCCACCGCTATGCAAGCACGGAGATGATGAAAAAGAGAACATGCGTTTGCCAGGTTAGGAAGCTTACGCAATTGCGGCTCAAAGATTGGAAAGGTAGGACTTCAAGAAGTTCACCCTCGTCGTGTCGTTGGGTCTTGGATTTTCCCTGGTAAGATACATATCAGCTACTTGCGTCTTTGTGAAATTCTTGCAGAAGGGAGTGGCAAAATAAACCAGGAAGGTGTCAAGTATTACAACCATCTTAATGTTGAAGACAATGTGCCTTTTTCTTTTGTTTTCTTAACTAATTCTTAATAGGTATTATGTAACTTTGTTTTTCTGGACAGTCCTCAAGTTTTGGAAGACGCCTACAAGACATGGCTGAGCTCTAGAATAGTGTAAGTTTTTATTAAACTTGAAGGAGTACATTGTGCTTAAAACTTTGATCTTTACAGGGATGATTATGCAGCTTATGTCGAAGCATGCTTCAGAGCGTTTGGAGATCGTTTAAGCACTGGATTACTTTCAACGAGCCTCATGCGGTCTGTAACTTTGGTTGCAACTTTGGCTTGCTTGCTCCTGGAAGATGCTCGTCTGAAGTTGGCAACTGCTCTGCTGGGAACTCTTCAGGGGAGCCTTACATCGTTGGACGTCATCTTCTTTTATCTCACGCGTCCGCAGTGAAGATATATTGAGAAAAATACCAGGTCTCAAAAATTGTGTTTCATTTCCTGATTGGATTTCTCGTTTCGTTTCTTTTATCAGGAGAAACAAGCTGGAATCATCGGTATTACGCTCGATGCACAATGGCACGAACCTTCTCTAATTTATCAAAGGATAGAGCTGCAGCTAGGAGAGCCCAGCACCATCAATCCGACGTCTTCCTGTTTGTTCACAGTCACGAGCAAAGCCAAACCAGATAGAGCTTGCAGAACCTTATAACGATGATACTGATCCACTGCAACATCTCCAGTTGTTCCATCCATTACTTTTCCGGGAGTGTGAGCATAAACATCCCAGATGCTTGGGCCCCTTCCACCTTCTTTAACAGCGCCTTCGTACTGCAACATAAACGTTGCTTGAAGAATGACGAAAAGCGCTAAGCTCCACCTGGTATGACGCGGACGATGTTCCAGCTTGAAGCAGCGCATTCTGGAAAGGGTCCAGTCCGAGGCAGTGACGCTATCCCGTTCTCAAGCCACTCATAAGATGCATTCACTTGAGCGTAGTCATCCAAGCCCACGATCCGGTCGATCTCGGACTTTGGTGCACGAGTCATGAAGCCACCGTTTATAGAGCGTCCTCCCCCAAGGATTCTTGCTCTTGCATTTGGTACCAGATCTGTGGTAAAAAATCCTTGAGAATGAGCTTGATCGAGAATGCTCAATGCAGAATTCTCTTCTCTCATGAACACGGCATTTCCATACGGCGAGTCGCCTCTTTCCAGGAGCAGGACTTTGGACTTTCGCGACAGAGATGTATCATATTTTTACTATTGCAATCTCTGTGTGGATCCTCTGGCAGGTTTCAGCATCCCTTTAGCTTTCGCATGCCATCAGTGCCGCAGATGGGAGATTCTAGCTCCTTCACCAAAAAGCCAATGCAAAAAACACTCCGAGGCTTCTAAACACCAGCACGAGATAGGCGCAGCACTTCCACGAGCAAACTTTGCCACTCTGCACAAGAACAAGGCTGATCAACCTGGCTATAATAGACGATATAGTAAGATACAATGTTTATATAGTTCCTCAAGAAGCATAAGATTGACACATTCAAATGAAACATTACTTTCTAACTTGATGCTTCCCAGAGAAACAAATACAGTTGAGAGCTGTCATTAAACATTTGCTAGAGTAATACTATTAAAGTTATTAGGGCTGTTTTATTAATGGGCTTGGTTCATATAAGCGAGGAGAAGAGAAAGGCGGTGGTGGATCTCGACAATGTGGAGCTCCAGCGAGTCGCCTCCATCCTCCACTCCGTGGTAAGCAAGCTTGGCGACGACAGCCCCGTCGAGCTCGCCAGGCTATGGTCGCTCGCCGCTAAATGCCACAAGCCCACGCTCACTGTGAACGTTGTCACGCCATCCGCCGCCGCCCTCAAGCAGCGCTTGGCGATCCAGCGCCAGAACTTGGAACCCAATCTCTCCATCGCCCCCGCCTTGCAACCCATCCCTGCACCACCGCCTCCTCCATCAGCTTCTTCATCTTTGTTCTTCACCACCACCACCAACAGTGCTACAGATGCTCCATCGCCATCGCCCCCTCTTGCAGTGGCAAGCCGAGGATTCGGCCAGTCTCTCGAGGAAGCCTTCGCCGGGCTGGGCCGGCTCAAAGATCCCGAGAAGGAGAATGAAAATGCGGTATCTCCAGTGCTGGAAGCTCCTCAAGTTGGCGGTGGTCTCCAAGAGAATGAGGTAAGCAAACTTCCCTCTTGGTTCTCGCTAAGTTCTGCTATGATCTTCCATGGCAGCCCAAGCTGGAAGGCTCTTGCTTTGGAGCTTGCAAGCTTCGCAGGCTGTCTGTGGAGATGAGTCCCTGGAAAGGATGCCTCGCGACTCCATCGTCCGAGCACAATAACTCGGCCATCTCGGCGCTTCTCTACTGTCCGGTGCTCGAGGCCTTCTCGGGGGACTGGGAGCAGAAAGGCTGGCTCTTCTCAGCGTCACACAACCTTCTCAATCTCTGGGTGTGCTCTCGAAAGCCAGTCGGCCACCCTCTCGAGGTAGCCACACTTCAAAAGCTTGACGTTTGCAAACTCTTTATGATCTCGTTCTTGCCAGCTGACGCATTCGCAGAACACTGCCACCGTCGTGGATGCCATGGACGTCGACATGGGTGTCAAGGTGATCATGTCCGTGGGCTCTCCTCGGCCGGGAAGGCCCTTTCGCGTTGCTCTCCACAGCCTCCAGACGAAGAACTTATTCGAGCCTCTGGTAATTTCCGTGCTTGTGTCCTCCTTCCAGAATCACGTCGTGGTGCTCGCAGGGAACGATCCAAATCCCGGAGAGAACCTCTCCCGAGTTCCTCAAGCAGATCTACGCCGGGTCCTCGAGAATGGTTCACGTCTCGTCCCTCCAGCCTTTCAAAGGACCTCTCAAGACAGCTCTAGCTGTTGGTCTCGGAGGAGATGTCCTGGTCTACGAGCTGGCCGCCGCGTCGACAGTGGAGGCCATCGTCGCTCCAAGAGCTTCGTGGAGAGCTCACGACACCGCCATCTCGTGCATGCATCCCAGCGCGTTTTGCTGCAGCATCATCACCGGTGCCTGCGATGGATCGATCAAGCTCTGGGACCTGAGAAGCAAGCCCACGCTTCCCTCCCGCCAGTGTGGACACCAGAAGCAAGTAACCGGCCTTGCAGTGCTCGACACCACCACCCTTTGCAGCTCCGGCACTGACGGCTCCATCCACTTCTGGGACTTGCGCTCGACCAACCGAGCTTTCGCCAGCGTCATTCCGGACGGGAAGCCGGTGCTCAACATGGCGTCGGCGTCGTCGTCACCGAGCTTGATCGCCTTCACGACGCGGCAGAGCCTCTACTGCCTCGAGTTTTGCGGGCCAGAGGGGATGACCACCATGCTCTCGCCGCTACGGCCTCTCCCTCCGGTGGGGCCTTGCACGGCGGTCAAGTGGAACACCAACAGCAAGCACGTCTACGCCGCTGGCGTCGATGGAACCATCAGCGTCTTCAAGAATGCGTCGTCCTCGTCTTGAAGAAGATCAAGGCTTTCAAGACCGGGTTGGCCGATCGTTTTAAGTTCGTGTTCTTTCAAAGCTCTTGCCACGCGTAGTATCATCTCATGTCATGAGAATGGAGACGAAGAATCAGCTCTCTATCAATTCATACTTGACGAAGGTGGCAAACCCAGCACGGCGACTTTGGTTTTTAAATCTCTTTTCTAGTCGCGAGCAAAGGAGATGCATCGAAGGGAGATTCCCGAAGAGAGGAACGTATTCGCAAATGATCGTGTCACTCTCCTTGTAGCACTCTTGTTTTACTGAGGAGGAGCAATCACAGCTCAAAGAAATACTAGTGAGGTTTTTGGACACACCATGCTGGCAATTCTTACGCGAAGAGCCGGAGCGCGGTCTTCAAGTCTTTGAAAGGATCTGGCAACCCGGTCTCCTGGACTGCATCGTTTGTGATTCCTGCGGTGAAAGTGAGGCTGTGCTCAAGACGGTTGAAAGAAGAACGAGGAAGTAACGAGGTGAACTTGGTGACATATGTTGCAGCTCTTAGGGTGAAGATTATAGCTGCTGATCCAAAAGAGCTTATCAACTCACTATAGCAAAGATTTTGATGAACAGTTTTTAAAAGTCACCATTAAGGATTATATTGAATGAGACGATTTTATGGTTGCTTTTCACTTACCTTTGAGTTTTTTTGTTATTCTACTTAACTACATTAATTTTTTATTTCTCTTATAAACTACACTAAATACTTATTAATATTAGGAACACAAATTTGTACTTTATATTTTAGTTATATGATATAGATATAAAAAATAATTTATATATTAATATAAAAACTTTTAATGCCAAAACCTATGTTAGGAATGTTTTATTAGAAAATAATAACTTTATTTAGTTTTACTTTGAGTAATATAAATTAGTTATATTTTCTATGATCAGTTTTGACCACAATGATTTTTTTATTATTTATATGCGGTATAAATCATTATTTGAGTTGCATCTTTATCTCAATAAATAATATACTCAAAGCTAAATGTAAAATTGAGATCATTTGCATAAGTTTAATGAGGATTTAGATTTATTTAATAGTTATTTTACTTTTTGAAATAAATAAGTTTTTAAGTAACTCAATTTAATATATAAGATTTAATTATCACTACTAATTTTTTTGTTATGTTTAAGTATTTTTTATCATTCTTTTTATTTTGAATCCTTTGAAAAATTACAAATAAAAATCATCAATTTAGTTTTTAAAAATCTTAACTTACTAATCAAAGAGTGTTATATACATTTTAATCAAAAATATTGAAAAGTGAGTACAATTAAAAAATTAAATGAATTTTGATTTAAAAAGTCTTACATCCAACCTATTTAATTTATATATTCAGATATACATGTCCAAAAAACAATTTGAGCTCGGAAATCTTGGATCTTGAATTCATCTATAGCACTACCAAAAATAAAAACAGTTTACCATGGTTGAATGAATATATGACCTTTACAAATTTATAATTTAATATAATTATATTAAATATATATTTTAAATAGAACTAAAAATAAAAATATAATATAATAAACTTTATACATATAAAGTGAGGTTTTTAGAGATATTTTAAATTTTATGAGTTAAAATTGATATAACTAAGCATTGTCTATAATAAATTTATCAATTATAAAGACTTTATTAAAAACAAAAGTTCTAACATGATTTTGATCTTCTTAATTAATTTATTAATATAGACATAATAAAAACTATCTAAATATTTAAATTAAATTTATTTAATTTCACTTGAATGTACATGTGGTGTTCATATCATCCTTTCTTGGATCTAGTGATCGGGATTGAGCATTGATGAGGGTAATACTTTGTAAAAAACTTTATTGGAATGATATCTCAAAAAAAAAATAAAAATTACTTGGCAGGTGATAAGATAGAAAAATAGAATAAACACAAAATATTTAGCTTTAATGGGTTTATAACAATCATCTTTTATAGATTAATAATATTTGTAAAAGGATATAATATTAAAAAATAATTATTTTGTGCGTGCATGGAATATGGAAAGGGAATACAGAAATGTGCATATCAATTAACCCAAAAACCCTAGCTTATATACAGGAGCGAGTGGTCCGGATTGAAACCAATCCGACGGCTACCAAAATCCACTACGCTAATATTAGTATACGGCTACGATGCCGTACACTTGGCCCTCACATCATCCCCTCCTCTCGGAATAATGGAAGGCCGTCAGGGTTCTCTTGTAGATGGGCCGGGATCTAGAGGAACGTTAGGAGGAGGCATCGGTGGATCTATAGACGGTATTAACTGCTCCTGATCCCTCTGTATGAAGCGTTTTAACCGCTGCACATGCACAATCTCCGGAGGATCAGCCTGCTGAACGTCATGCCGAACCTCATAAACTTGTGGTCCAACTTGCCGCAACACCCGATACGGTCCTTTCCACTGCGCAAGGAGCCCCTTAGATAAACCATGTACCGTAAGATGGGGAAAACGGACTAACACCAAATCATCCACTTTGTACTCCGCTGGTGGATGATGATGGGAATTGTAGCGCCATTGTTGTCCCACTTGTACGCGGCCTAAGTGTTCAGCAGACTCTGCTCGGACAAGTGGAAGAATGCTTGTCAAATATTGATCCCATGACCTAGCATCAGGAGCTCGTGGCAATCGCGAAGGTAAACCTAGCTCTGTTGGTAATATTGGATCATGACCATATAGAAGTTTATATGGTGAAGCACCAACAGAACTCTGCACCCCTGTGACATAAGCATACCGAAGAGACGGCAAATAACCATCCCAATCCGAATGTTGAAAGTTCACATACTTCGCAATCATCCCTTTGAATGTTCGAACGAGCCGTTCCACCAGACCGTCTGATTGTGGATGATAAGCACTCGTAAAAGTGTGGCGTATCCCCAACCGAGATGTCAAAACATGAAATACCTCAGCCATAAATGCAGGACCATTATCCGAAAGAATCTGTTCTGGACAAGAATGCTGGAACACCACTCGATTGAGGAGGAAGTATCCAACAGCAGTTGCAGAGGCACTAGCAAGAGCACCAACTTCCACCCAACGAGTCAAGTAGTCAGAAGCAATAATAACATACTCATTGCCAGCAGTCGATCGCGGAAAAGGTCCCATAAGATCAAACGCCACCAACTCAAACGGACGAGAAACTGCAATTGACTCCAACCGTCCTTCTGCAGCACAAGGGGGAGTATTACGAGCTTGGCACCAAACGCAGCTACGCACATACCGGATAATATCACGTCGCATCTCTGGCCAATAGAAAGATCTGCGCAACTTCTCGGTGACACGACGGTGTCCCATATGCCCACCTAGAATAGGAGAATCATGGTAAGCATGGAGAAACCGCGGAATAAACACCGAAGGCACCACCAGCCGTAAATGAGCATCAGGATCCGTCCCCACAAAATAAAGAAGGCCATCTTCAAGGCGATATTGAGAATGTAAATGCCGAAAAGGCAAGTCATCAGCAAGTGATGCAGGATTCTCAAACCCATCTCGAAGCCTTCGAATCCACGGCTCAATCTTTTGAGCCTCGCGAACCTCATCCAGAGAAGGTAGATCTTGCTCTACGCCCTGTGGACACTGAACGTCAAGGACAGCAACCGCCGACGGCACAGAATCCTCATCTAGAAAATCCACAGATGCTGGAACAACAGGTTCGTCAAAAACATGAGAAGTGAGTGGAGAAGGAAGAGGAGCTCGAGAAAGGGCATCAGCATCAGCCATAGAACTCCCTGGGCGATGAACAACATTGAAATCATATATCTGAAGCTTCAAAGCCCATCGAGCCGTACGACCAACCAGGTTCTTCCGCTTCAATAATGAAGTAACAGCAGCATGGTCACCTTCAAGTAACGTCCGAGAACCATGTAGATAGGCATGAAGTTTCTCGAAACCCCAGACTGCTGCTAAACACTCCTTCTCCGTCGTGGAGTAGTTCATCTCCGCTGGTTGTAATGTACGGCTTATGTATGCAATGGGATGGCGCTGACCAGGCACACTCGAGCTCTCTTGCATCAACACACCTCCAAGACCAATGTCAGAAGCATCCACGCGCAAAATAAAAGGTCGAGTGTAGTCAGGATATGCCAAAACCGGAGGAGTCGTCAATAGCTCTTTGAGATTCACGAACGCCCGCTCACAATCGGGAGACCAGATGAAAGATGACGTTGATGACTTCAGCAACGCTCGCAATGGTACAGTGCGATCGGAAAGATGATCCACAAAACGACCGAGATACTGCACCTTACCCAAAAAACGCTGCACATCATTCACACACTTCGGAGTAGGGAACTTTAGAACAGCCACAAGTTTGTCAGGATCAACTTGCAAACCCTCACGAGAAATACGGTACCCAAGATAAGTTGTGTCCTTGGACCCAAACACGCACTTCGACCGCTTCAGCTTTAAACCAACGTCGTGTAGCCGATCCAACACTTTACAAACATCATGAACATGCTCCTCCCATGTCCCCTCCGAGTGGATCAAGACATCATCAATGAAGTCAGCCGTCACCTCCGGCATATCGCAAAGAACCTCATCCATCATTCGCTGAAAAGTTGCTGGAGCATTGTTCAAACCAAACGGCATCACCAAAAACTCGTACAAACCAAATGGTGTACGAAAAGCAGTCTTAGGAATATCGTCTTCAGCCATCGGTACTTGCCAATACCCAGAAGCAAGATCTAGCTTGGTGAACCAACGACTTCGCCCCAGACGATCCAAGAGATCAGCAGTGTGAGGAAGAGGGTACGTCCGGGATCGTCACTTCATTTAACGGACGATAGTCGATGCAGAAACGAATACTCCCATCAGGCTTCGTCACAAGATGAGGTTCACATGCCCAAGGACTCCGTGACTTCCGAATAACACCCTTCTCCAACATCTCCTTGACGTTTGCACGTAAAATCTTGATCTCCTTGGGTGACCGACGACGAACATGAACCTTGATTGGACGAGCATCCCCGGTTGGAATGGGATGACGTGTGGCAATCTTGGCCCCAGACGATAGGTCAAATTCAAAGAGATCAGAATACTCCTTCATGAGCTGGTCAACAGCTGCAACACAAAGATCATCGGAGGGATCGGAAAAGGGAAGAGCAGAACAAGATGGAAACACAAGAGGAAATAATGGGGGAACAAAAGTAATGGAAGCAGAGGTAGAAGTAGAGGGACGAAGAGGTACAGAAGTGAGAGGAATGGATGAAACATAAGGAAGTATGAGACAAGGGGGAAAAGCCTCAAAGTCACACTTGGCATGATTGTGCTGCAACCAATCCATACCAAGAATGAGGTCAAAAGCTTGACTCGGCACCACCCGCAACGACTGCAACTCAAGCTCGAGATCGCCCACATGCACAACCAGGTCCGCCTCATCTCGTGCACATGCATGTGTACGGCCGTTGCCATAAAGAATGAAAACTGGATCCGCCGCACGACGCAAGTGTAGACGACAACGTGTGGCAACAGGTCGAGCAATAGAAGATAAACTCGAACCTGTATCAACCAACACGGAGAGAAGAATAGGAGACCTCTTGTTATAAAAACGAGCTTGGAAAGTAAACACTGGATGAACCGGTGCCGAGTGAACCCCTTGATGATACTCCCGAAAGAAAGATGGAGGGGTCACTAACTTATTCACGCAAGGTCCCTCCATTACTCGCGCGACTCCTCGTTTCCCGAATGCACCTCGGTATCCAAACCTTCCACCGCAGCAGCACCAACGGGACGTTGCTGACGCCAAGGTCTCCACCCAGGAAATGGAGGTCGCCAATCCGGAAAGCGCCGACAACGCCGATAAGTATGACCAACTTCATCACACGCCCAGCAATGAATGTCACGGCCACGACCACGTCCTCGCCCTTGTCCTTGGACTCGAGTAGCAGCAGCATCAACCTCCATGGGAACAGGACTATCACTCATAGGAAGTGGAGCTGAAGGACGTGTAGCAAGAAGTGGAAGAGGCGACGTCTCATAACGTTGCGCCAAGCGAAGAGCATCGTCAAGAGTGGCAGGAGCAAGTGCATGCACAAGTCCGACAAGATCTTGACGAAGTGCTGGCCACAGCATTCCTAGCTTGATCCGCTCCGACATATTTGGCTCCGCACGAAGCAAAAGACTTCGGAAACGAACGCCAAATTGCATCACCGACTCAGATGGCCCTTGGCGAAGACGATGCAATTGTTGGAAGGCATCATCACAATCGTCGGCGTGTCTGAAGGCGCGTTTGAAGACGTCCGGAAGAACACTCCAATCGCCACGAGTAGCTGCGCTCAACCCATTGTACCACTGCAATGCCGTCCCTTGAAGACATGTGGGGAACTCACGCAAACGTCGAGCATCATCCCAAGAATGATATGTGGCAATCACCGTGAAGTGATCGAACCAATGGTACACATCATCCCCAGGATTCCCACGAAAGAACTTCGGCCGAACGCGAGGATTGGCACCAAAAATAGGAGGAGTTGTACCATGTGCCGTGAACGCCGCCATCAACTGAGTTTGGTTGTTCAATTGCAGGCGCATAGCATCAAGCAATTGAACCAACTACTGCTCTAGAGTCAAAGGAGGAGATTGCGGATCGGCCATGAAAATGAATGAGAAAGAAAGAGCAAAAGAAGAGAAATGACAAAAAGCTGGAAAGAAATGGTAGATCTAGACAATGCAAAAAGCTAGATCTAAACCAAAATCCTGAAAGAAAAGAACAAAAGAAAGGAAATGGAAAAAGCTAGATCTAGACAATGCAAAAGCTAGATCTAAACCGAAATCCCAAATCCAAGCACTCCCCAGGGACAATCAAAGGTGCCCCTCATCTCCACCAATGTGCGTGCATGGAATATGGAAAGGGAATACAGAAATGTGCATATCAATTAACCCAAAAACCCTAGCTTATATACAGGAGCGAGTGGTCCGGATTGAAACCAATCCGACGGCTACCAAAATCCACTACGCTAATATTAGTATACGGCTACGATGCCGTACACTTGGCCCTCACAATTTTATATATTTAACACATTACAATTAATAAATTTATTTAAATTAAGTAATAAATTTTATTAATTAAATATCACCAAGATCAGTGTAAAAGAGCTAAAAGGACATATAATAGAATTAAGAAGAAAAATTGAAAGAATGTAAGCTGATAAAAATAAACATTATTATTATATGATATTATAAAATATAGTTGGAAAGTGTTCATCATTAGTTTTATAACAATATAAAATCTTAAACAACCAAAGTACAATAAATAAATTTATTTATTTTTCATAATTTGCATGGTAAAGTTTTAGCTCTTTGTTTGCAACATTACATACAAGAGTTTTACATTTATACATTGTCTATGCCTCTGACTTCGACAAGAAAATGACCAGAAAAGCTGTAAACTTAGGAGCACTTTGTGCCACTGCAGCCAGCTTCTTGCAAATGAACTAGAGAAAAATACGTACCAGACATCGACATTAGTTCCTCATGTGTTCCCTGCTCGACCACAGCTCCACTGTGCATTACCGAGATGCAGTCGCAGTTCCTAACCGTAGAGAGCCTGTGAGCGATCACGAGTGTCGTTCTTCCGGCCATTGTCTCCAGCGCATCCTGAACGAGGTGCTCCGACTCTAGATCCAAAGCACTGGTGGCTTCGTCCAGCAGTAAAATCTGTGGGCTCTTCAAGACCGCTCGAGCTATTGCAATTCGCTGCTTCTGACCGCCAGAGAGACGGATTCCCTTCCGGCCAGAATGCGTCTTATACCCCTCCGGCAGTGCACTGCAACCAAAGCAATCTTAGTGACTCACAAACAAGAAAGGAAAAAGCTTCTGCCAACCTGATGAAATTGTGTGCATTAGAAATGCGACTGGCTTGGATTACTTCCGCTTCGGTGCATTCGCTTTCACGTCCATAAGCGATGTTTCATGTATGGTTGCCGAAAACAAGCATGGCTCCTGGCTCACAAGACCGATCTGTCTCCTCAGCGAGTAAAGGTCAAGCTTTTTGATGTCCTTCCCATCGATTTTCACCACGCCGCTTAGAGGGTCGTAGAACCTCTCGATGAGCGCGACGACCGTGGATTTCCCCGAGCCACTGTGACCAACCAGTGCCATAGAAGTACCACCTGGAACGTGTAGATTCAAGCCTCTCAGAACTACAACGTCCGGCCTTGTTGGATAAGCGAAGAACACGTTGCATGCGTCGATCTCTCCCGTAACTTTCCCCGGAGGAGTAGCTTCTGGATCGTTCGCATTTATCTTTCCCTTCTGACAGAGGATCCCAAATACCGAATCAATGCTGGCAGCACCTTTGGAGTTGCGTTTGTCAAGGCGCATGCAATTGATGGCCATGAGGTATTGCAAGCACTACAGCATGACATTGCAAGACTTGGTGTTGCGCCTCGTAGATTCCACAGATTTCGGTTGCGTCCACAACGATGAAGTGGCTTTGACGTGGCTTGATTATGTGGTTGTCGAGGACACGCGACCGATGACGTGGAGGAAGTCGAAGACCTCCACGAGGCCGTAAGAGCAGTGATTATATCATAGCAAAGAGCCGAGCTGGAGCACAAAGACGAGGATTATGGATCAAAGGTCACCAGGCTCATACAGGATCATCAAGAGAGCCTATACTTGGTCATGAAGACTGCCTGAACATCTTTCAACGCAGTGGGTATCTGCACTGGAAGCAGAAATTCTTTTGGCAGCCGGTGATACAGACATATTAAGCACAGCGAAACTGAGGGACAAACTTGCCAAGTACAGCAGATGGGACATGAGACTTGGCAACCAACGAGAGCAAGTTTTCCAGAGCTTGTTCCTCACACCGGTCTTGTTGGATGGTGCTCCAAGGGAAGTGGAAGCAGGACTTTCATCGCACCAGCTGCTTTCTCCCGGAGCCTCTACAAGTCGAGTGCAATTCAAAGAGTTGTTCAACTTAAAAGCCGATGTGATAAAATATGATTTACTGATTAAATATAATGTGTTTTAACCTAACAAACTACTTTAAGGCCCTTAAGGCTAAGCCATGGTTTATCTCACAAATCAGATGGGATTGTGGCTGCTTCAAATCGAAGGAATCCTTTACTGAAGCCCAGGAAAGGTGGTCTGGCAATCATGTATCACTACCCTACCATGGTAGCTGTAGAGTGGGAAAGGTGGTGGAACTTACAAAGTTCTTGGGGTCGAAAAACTCTGAGTGCTTGATGGCAGCGTGTTTGATTTCTCTCCAGGGACGAATCCTCAGTCGACTTTGATTAGCAGTCTTAAATTTCATTACGATTTACTTGATTATACTTACTTAATATGCATCAACACAGTTTGCTTATTTGATTTATTCTGATTTGAAGTCTGCTCTTCAATTAGCAGTTAGTATATGGCGCCAAGCGCAAGGATCTAGCGCGGGGCAAGAGGATCCACACGGCGGCGGTGGAATGCGGCCTCGATTCTGACCTGTTCGTGGGATCTAGCCTGGTGAGCATGTACTCCAGGTGTGGCAGTGTCGCTAGATCGCGAAAGTATGGAAACATCGCCGACGCACAAAGAGTTTTCGACTCCATGCAAGATCACAACGTCATCTCGTGGACGTCCATGATCTTTGGCTGCGTCGACAACAGCCAAGACGAGCTCGCTCTCGAGCTCTTCCGGCGCATGATGGAAGAGAAGCGGTGTCCTCTCGATGCCTGGACTTTCGTGGCGGCTCTCAAGGCGTGCGGGGGAAACTGGCCAAGAGATCCACGAGCAAATCCGGGACGCTGGACTGGAAAGAGAGGCCTCCATCGCCGCGACGCTGGTCGATTTCTATGGAAGGTGTGGAAGCATGGATGAAGCTCTCGAGGCATTCCAGCTAAGCTCGCAGGAGGATATGGTGGCCTGGACGGCCTTGGTCGCAGGATATAGCAGGCAGGGAGACACTCCACGAGTTCTCGAGCTCTTCCAGGCGCTGCTAGACAAAGGCCTTCGTCCAGACGTGATGATCTCGGCTTGCAGCCACGCCGGCTTGGTCGATCTTGGCAAGCGTTATTTCGACGAGATGAGCTCAAAGTTTGGGCTGGCTCCCGGGATCCATCACTACCACTGTGTGGTGGATCTTCTCAACAGAAGTAACAGGCTCGAGGAAGCGGTGGCTATGGTGGCGAGGATGCCATTTGAGCCGACGCTGGTAACTTGGACGACAGTGCTCGCGGGGTGTCACAAATGGAAGAACTCGATGGTGGGGAGATTGGCGTTTCAGCGTTTGATTGCTCTGGACAGGAGATTAGACTCGGCCTACGCTCTTATGGCGAACATCTATGGAAGTCTCGGGCTGTGGAAGGAGAGGCAAGAGATCCAAGCGATGAGAAGTATGAACGTTTTGTAGATAGTTGTAATTGCAAAGAATCGCGTGAAAGTAGTGTTGTTTCAGCTATATTACTAGGAGGATTTGCGAAAACTCCCAAGAATTAAGCAAAGTTCTTGTCAGTCAATGATGGTAAAACTTTCTAGTCAGCAAGTCAACTTAGGGTGCTGTGCGATCTCGCCAAGCACAGACAAGAGAATGCCGGCGTGGCGTGGCTGATTGGAGTCCCGGACGATCGCTTCCTCGATCCGCTGCCTGCGCTACAAGGATGGCGATCCAGATTACGCCGCTGAGGAAGGTAGGGCTCCAGGCACAGAGATTTCGTGATCCGATATTCCAGGTGAATTGCGGATCGGGGCTGGAAGTGATTGGAGCATTGCTGGTTGGATCGGATGCTGCAATGGCGTGTGCTGTGGCCAGGAAAAGCCTCTGGTCTCATCGAACGATGCTGCTACTCGATCCAGCTCCAGCGATGGCATTACGTTCTTCTCTCAGGCCCTACAACCGATCGAGCAATCTTCCTTTTCCGCGAAAGAGTTTTGGGAATCCACAGCGCTTCTTCATTGTCAAGTCGAGCTTGGCCTTTCGCTCTACACATCTTCTGGAACTTCCTCAGGTACTTTTTTTCTCTTATACATTTCTAACTGTGTGACATTAGATCTTAAGAAGCAGCTGGATGGGAAAATTAGAGACCTTCCCCAGAGTTTCACGAGCTCAAGCACTGTATGTATTATGGAAGGATCGTCGAGAAGATTTCTCGTTCGCTCTCAATCTAACGAAGAGCTACAATCTGTGTTCCCAGATTCAGCTCTTTTCGACTCTTTGGTAAGCTCTCAAACACAAGTTTGTAAGAACTCTGATGAGTTTGCTTTCCAGATAGCACATCCCCTGGTTGGCAAGCTTTTGACGCAGCAAAGCAAGCAGACTGATCTCATTACACTCCTTGTAAGTGGTGCCGGTTTGTTTATCCGCTTCTCATTCTCCTTACATAGCTGCAGACGGAACCTTGCTACACACAGCCACGGTTTCCCTGGACGTGCTATGCTTAGTTTCCAGGAACTCCGCCTTGCACAAAGCGATGAACACAATCACTCGTGCTCTGACGATTCAACTGGAAATCCATTGGTAAAGCTTTGTCGGCAAGGAATACCAGTCTTCAGGTATGACTCGTGAGTAGAGTAGAGAGCCATGCTTACTTACACGGACGACGTAGTTGCGCCCATATCATTTCAAAGTTCCCGCTAGCGTGCATCCTGTAACAGCCATCTTCGATAAGAACCAGCTTGAACGCGACTCTGGTGAACTTTTATTACTTGCTTGACTCACTGTCAAAGTGTGTGTTGTTATTGTAGTTGACCTCCGGAGAGCATTGCATTCTCGGCTCGGCTTGCCACTAGATCGTCCACTTTTTCGCGTTGCCAATGCATTAACTATCAGAGGGCCACAGTTCATCTCCAACCGGTTTGGCTGTTTGCGAGGTTCTTGCTCCTGCAACTCGCCAATGGCTCCGCCATCGCCTATGACATGCGCGAGATCGCCCCAGCCGCGGCATCCAAGGTACTTGGAATTTTTTTCTTTCTTTCATTACATTACATTCCATCCACGGAGAACTCCTCTCTTTTTTTCCAGGACATGTACGCAAAGAAGCCATCCTCTAAAGTCGATGGTGCTTCGTCCGCTGGAGTTCCTGGCGAGCTCGCTGGACTCCACCTCGCGTGGCAACACTTTGGAAGGCTGCCCTGGAAATCGCTCTTGGAGCCGGCCATCAAGCTAGCCCGGGATGGATTCGTGGTAACACCTTACCTGGAATTTGAAATTGCTCAGAGTCTCAAGGGGATTCTAGCTCACAGAACGCTTCGAAAGTTCCTCTCGCCGAATGGGAAGCTGGCGAAAGCTGGTGATGTTCTTCGCAACGAGGAGCTGGCCAGGACGCTGGAGCTGATTACCAACGAAGGGCCGGGTGGGCCGAAGGGCCGGCTGTTCTTGGAATGCCTCCTCCATCTTGGGGAGGTGGCACTGGTATCTTTTCTTTTCTTGCTTGTTTTCTCTTTTACTGACTAGAAATACATTTTTTTAATTTTTAAAGCATTTTTCCTCAGAATAACGCAGAAATATATTTGCCTTTACTACGGAATCCTTTTGTTAGGGTATATTGTTAGGAGAGGACAGAGAGCAGCGAGAATGGGGAGTGATATAGAGAACTTTTATACTCTGGAGGAAGAGCTCGGTCGTGGTGGCTAAGCAATCGTATACAAGATGAAGCGCAAGGTAGATGGCAAGTTTTTCGCATGTAAAACAATCCGAGTGAGTGATTATACAATTGAGGACTCGATCACCGATGACATGCTCCCAGATGGAGGCTTACGAGAAGAAGCCGAGGCAGAGATTGAGGCACTGGTGCATCTCTCAAAGATGCATAGTCCGAGTGGTGGAGCAATGGTACCTGAGCTTGTGGAGGTTTTTAGGGATGAGGATTACTATCATCTCGTCATGGAGCTATGTCAGTGTTCACTAAGAGATGTACTACTTAGAAAAAAGAGGCTTAGTGAGCACGAAGCTGCAATTGTGATAAAGCAAGTGGCCAAGGCAGTCCACAAGATGCACAGGAGGGGTGTCACTCACAGGGACATTAAGCCTGGGAACATCCTTCTTGGGTTTGGGGAAAGCTTATTTGGGAATGTAAAGTTGGCAGACTTTGGAACATCGTCAAGGTTTTCAAAGAAGGGGTCACCACCAGGTATGATCATGAGGGGGATGGTTGGGACAGAGAGGTACAGAGCTCCTGAGATGTCATCTCCTGGCCGTGTTTATGACGAGAGGGTTGATGTGTGGAGTGTGGGGATTGTTCTTTATGAGATGTTGTTTGGAAAGTGTGCATTTCCAAGGTTGGCATCGCAGGAAATTGAGAAGAGATTAGGATGTTTGGAGGATTTGCCAATGAACTCTCTCGATTGGATAGGCATAAGCGACAAAGCTAAAAAACTCATTCTGCACTTGCTCAACATTGACCCTGAGAAGAGGCTGTCCTTGCGGAAAGTGAAGAAACATCCTTGGGTGGTGAGGAATTTGTCGAGTCCACAACACAAATTGACGATGGAAGAGCTCGAGGATCAAACAAAGGCAGGGAAAATGAGTTTGAAATTGGTTTTCCAGCAGTCAAAGCCCGGAAAATGGTGTGTGAAAAGAAAGCGGGAAGAAGAACACTTGAAAACTATAATGATCGAGCCGAAGAAGATTCGACTGCGATGTGTAAATGGAGCATGGCAAACTGTCCACTAAAACATCACTCACACATAATTTTGTAACCAAACTGTACAAACATATAATTTGGACAGAGAATAAAGAAGTAGGGCTTTCATCAAAGATGAAACTTCTTTGTGTTGTATAATCAGATAAATAGCCAGAATACATTGATGTATCACTAATCTCTTTTGTGACTGCTACTGCCATGAGCAAAGTAGTTTTATTTAATCAGCATAAGTAAACAAAAAAAAGGGGGAAAAACGAAGGCTTTGAAACGGTTCTTCATCAACTGACATTCCAACTGAAGCGCACCACCACCACCAAAATCTCCAAAGTCACCCCCAAAATCTCTCCTCCCACCACCAAAATCTCTCCTAATCACCACCAAACTCAAACTCAAAATCACCACCACAGCCACCACCAGCAGTCGAGCACCACCTCCGCCTGCACAGCTTGCCGAAACCTCCAGTGGCGCTGCACGCCCGAGTGCCTGTTCGCGCCATACTTCCTGCCGGACCAGCCTGAGCGCTTTGCCAACGTTCACAACGTCTTTGGCGTCTCCAACGTGAGGAAGATGCTCAACGAGCTCCTCGTCTACTTCCATGAGGATTGCATCGACACTTTGGCGTACGAGGTGGACATGCGAGTGGAAGATCCAATCTATGGCTGCGTCAGTGTCATCTCCGTGCTCCAGAAAAGGGCGGCAAGAACACAAAACCATAAGTACCTTGCATTGGCGACTCCATGCTCGAGCTCAATGTTGTCTCCTGGAACGCGATGATATCGGCTTATGCAAAGCTTTCGTACCTGGAAGACGCCAACGATAAAATGGCCAGACCAAATAAAACATGTTACTAATTTGGAACGACCAAGAACACTAAAAAATTCTCTAGAGAAACGAACAAGCATTCAGCTCTGATTCAAGCTATCTAAAGTATCACTGGAGCTCTCAAAGCCAGGGAAATTTCTCAAGAATCGAACTGCAGACCCTGTATGTCCCGTGATTCGAACTTGAGACCTTATAAGTCCCGGGATTCGAACTTGAAAGGCCCTATTTGAGAAAATTTTGTACCTTGCATGTGACGAGCAATGGACGAGGCGCTCCTTGGCGAGCGAGGAATCCAAGCTCGCGCGAGCCGATCACTCATGGATTCCAAGCGACCGAGGATTTTCACTGTTCTTGGCGTGCTTCCTCGCTGGTAAGAATCGTGCTCCCGAAATATCTGTCTGGAATGTGGTCGCAGCTGTTTCTACCATCGCGATCGTGGTTCTTGGAGTCAAGATCATCGATGCGAGGGAGTCTCTGGCGCCATCGCCAATACGATCGCTAGCGAGCGCCGCTGGCGAGGCGGACAAAGGCGTCGTGCTGCTCGATCGTCGGAAGGGATGCGCTTGCGCGGGGCAGCCATGCGATGATCTGGCTTTAAATCTTCGTTTGTAAGCACTTGGATCAAATTTTTCCAGGAAAGCGACGTTTGGATGTTCATCTCGGTCTTGTGAGTTCTTCATTTGTATTATGTTCTTTGTTAGCTCACATCGGTTATTCATAGTTTCTGGTGGAGAAGTGAGTGTCATTGACCGCTCGTACGAGTACTGTCACTACCTTCAGGATCGAATGGACGACAAAGTAAAAAAAACAATTTTTCTGCTTTCCTTTTTTTTGCAACTCCCGGGACTTTGGATTGCTTGCTTTCCAGGGCTGGGGTTGCGCATATCGATCCTTGCAGACTATAATGTCGTGGTTTAGGCTGCAGCATTACACTTTTATGAAAGAACCTTCTCACAGGTGGAATCATCAATGGTCAGCAACTAATGCTTTCTTTGCTTTCACGTGTAGAAATAGGAGACAAGGAGCCTTCTTTTGTTGGATCTCAAGAATGGGTTCGAGCGATCGAGTTAAGCTTTGTACTAGACAAACTTCTCGGGGTACGTGTTCACTACTCGAAAGCATAACTTCTTTTTTGTTGTTTTCTTGATCTCTCAATGACTTGTTTGTTTCTGTGCAGGTGACTTCGAAGATACTAAGCGTGAGCAGATTTACCGGAAAAATGCCGGGAGCTTGCGGCACATTTTGGCACGCAAGGCACTCCAGTTATGATCAGTACACTTCAAGCATAGAATATGATCTTTTCTCTTTATAACCAAGGAAGTTAAACACAGGGGGTGGAGTCCTGGCATATACATTACTTGGCGTGGATTACAACAAACTTACTGGCGAGAGCGCTTTTCTTATTCTGGATCCTTACTACACGGGCGGAGAGGACCTCAAGAGCATCCGGAGTGGAGGCTGGTGTAGGCCGTGAGCGACACCAGCCGCGAGTTTTTCTTGCGTTACAAGTTTTACAACCTGCTGCTTCCACAGCGTCCTCAAGCTGTCTAAAGTTTAAGAAAAAGGTAAGTGCCAGTACGCTCTGGTATTTATAATTCTCATGCATGAGATCTTCGCGCAGGAAATCCGAGTGATCTGAGCCTGAACGCATCAAACACACAAGCATTAAATCTTTTTTGTTATCTGTTGCCGAAGTGAATGGTGGACATCGGAGTTACAAGTACGTGGATCAGCACTTGCTTAAGGTACTCTATATTTTTCTTTCTACGCATTGCACACATGATGTTGAGTGATAGGCGATCCAGGCAGCGAGTGAAGCGCAGCCCGCGCACAATCATGATCTGATAGCGAAAGTTTTTTAAAAGTTAGGGTTTATAGCGTAAATGGCGCCATTTTGGCTTAGGGTTTGCAAGAGAGGGCGATGGGGCCGGAGCGGTCGGTGTCCTACATTTCGCTGTTCCGGTTCGCGGATGCCAAAGATTTTGTGCTGATTGCGGCTGGCACGCTCGGCGCCGTCGTCAATGGCCTCACTTTCCCTGCGATGCTCATCATTCGCGGCCGCATGATCGACAACTTTGGTACTTTGCCACAGGACGGCGCGATGAGCACGAAGTTCTCCCAGGTGCGCGGTTTTCTCCCTGTTCTAAGTAGTGCGCTCGCTTTTTCTCCTTTGACTCCACCGGTTTTGGTGATTGGATCTTGGATTTGGTTGTGAGTGTGGATTGGTTGTTTTGCTGCAGGACGCGCTTCTTTTTGTTTATATCGCCATTGTTGCGTGGATCGCGTCATACATTGGTATCTTATCCATAGACTAAAGAAAAAGGAATAGAAGAACAACTTAGTGGGCTTGCTTAAATGTGTTTTTATCTCGTGTGGTTAAGACAGAAGTAAGCTGCTGGATGTTTACTGGCGAGAGGCAAGCGTCGAGGCTGAGAGCACTGTATCTCAGATCTGTGCTCCGCCAGAACGTTTCTTTTCTTGACAACGAGCTTTCAGCAACTTACATTGTCAACTGCGTATCGGACGATACGCTCCTGGTGCAAGAGGCAATTAGCGAGAAGGTAACGTTGTCTTTCATATATTTTTTGTGTCGCTTTCGGATATTGATGTTTGCTGTGAAGGTCTATATAGACTGGCAACTTCATCCGGAACGTTGTCCAGTTTGTGGGAGGATATTTGGTTGGATTTACGCAGTCTTGGAAGCTGGCAATCGCTATACTGCCTTTCACGCCGCTGCTCATTCTGCCAGGGGTGTTTTACGGGAGCGCCATCTTGAAGTTTGAGAATGAGAAGCAGGCCACGTACAGTAAAGCAGGGAACATGGCGGAGCAAACGATCGCGTGCATTCGTACTGTGTACTCACTTGTCGCGGAGACCAAGTCCCTTCGAGCTTATTCTCTTGCTCTCGAGGAAACCGTTGCATCTGGTTTAAAGCAGGGACTTATCAAGGGGCTGGTACTCGGTTCCAACGGGATCAGCTTCGTTTTATGGGCCTTCATGGCCTGGT